TCTATAGTTCATTAAAATAATCTGCATTTTAAATCAACAGCTGGGTACATTTGTCTCGAATTAAACCAATGTCTTATGAGTCTCCCCAGTTCCTCCAAACAATGAACCAGAAGCTATGACCTATTCCTGTAACTAGAAAGTGGATAAGTCTATAAACTAAATTTCCAAACTTTCGGGGTCCATCTCAGTGTCTATTGGTCCTTCTCAGGGCCTTTACTCTGTCTCTCTCATTGTCCCCATCTCTCTATTGTCTCTGTTCCTCTAAGTCTGTCTTAGATTCACTCGGACCTTTGAATTCTTTCTTATACTTCACCAAGAACCTCCTTCTCTCAGTACAATGCTTGAGTTCCCCCTATGCTGGGAATTTGCCCTGTCTTACATCACTATTACCTTACAGCCACTCTGCTCCCTCCCTAATTAGTATCACCAACTACCATTTCAATTGCCTCTTCTACACCAGATATCCACACTACAGACCTTATCAGATCAGGTATTAGAAGCCAGGCTCATGAGAAAGCAAAGACAGAAGCTAGGATTGCTCTAATACTAGCAGCCTTTCAAGGCCAATCATAGCCCAGGTCCATGGGTGCCCAGGTCCATGGGTACCCAGCTCTCAATGGCAAGAACTCATCGAAGTGCATCATTTGCCACCAACCTGGCCACTGGGCAAAAAAAAAAGTGTCCCAACTAGGACAAGCCTCCCCAATCTGCTTGCTACAAGTGTCAGTAGTTGGGTCATTGAGCTGCCCTCTACTCCAAGGGTCGAAGGACCCTTGGGTCAGAGCCAGCCACAGTCTGTCAAATGGTTGCACAGGACAGAGGAGAACCCCTACAGTTGGCCCCATTACAAGGAATCTCTGTCACTGGTCTGGAGCCAAGTGTTAATCTGGATGTGACAGGTGAGAAAATTACTTTCCTTTTGGATACCGGGGCCACCTGCTCTGTCCTCTCTTTTTTGGACCCTTCTCCTCTCGAATTTCTACCATTTGGGGCATCACCTGTAAGCCAATTTCTTTATTTTACTCTACCTTTATATTACCTATTGGATAAATATCCATTTACCCATACATACAGTAGTTCCTAATCCATTTATTCTACTGGGGAACATACCTCCAGAGACCAACTCATTTACTACTTTAGACTTAAAGGCTATATTCTTTTTTATCCCTTTTAGTCTATAGTCCAAATTTCTATTTGCCTTTGGATGGGACTCTCCTAATGAAGTCCACTAGCAATTGACTTGGACAGTACTTCTTCAGGGATTCCAGGACAGGCCCCACCTTTTTGGTCAAGCATTAGCTCATGATTTACAAGATTTACAACTTGAGGGGGAACTCATTTTCCAGATTATAGAAATAACAAAGTAAACACTAAAAGAAAATGTATTTCCATGAATCTGCTGGTATAACCAAGTGGAGCTTATAATGTGGTGTTGCTGCTATCTGCAGCCTGACTTATTTGTGTATGTTACTTATATGTATATAACTGGGTTTTGAACAACTCAATTATCTAAAAAAGTAGAACTTTTTATCTATTAATCTATGTATTTTCTACTGCTAGCTTTGAACATATTTAAAAATGTAGTATATTTTAAAACACTCAAAATACTTGTGAATATGATACAAGTATCAAAATGCATACTGCAACTATATTTATTATTTGATTATGCCAAAATTAATTTTGAAAAAGCAATTAAATGGTAGATTAAAATAGCCTTTATGATTTATTGATACCAGAAAATATTTTCTAAATCTTTTTTGTTTGATAACATTTCAAAAAATACACAACAAAATTTAAACTTTTTCTCAAAGAGATTTTTTTCAGGTTTACCCATTTCCTATTTAATCTGTGATAGTAACCACAGAGGTATCCACAAAAATGACACCAAAGCTATACTTTTAGTGGATGAAAATTTTAAGTTGTTTGTATGTTGCTTTTTGAAAAAGAGAGAGCATTGATGAGAATATTACTTATTTAAGCTTTACAAGAATGAGAACTTTTTAAATTTTCATTCTGTGTATTTTAGAAGTTCTCTTTTTGCTATTTCTTGTCCACTCATATTCTTATTGTAGAATGTAGACATAAAGCTAACCTCTCTGTAAAACTTGGCAAGTTACTTTAACCTTCCTAAGCATTGATTTTCTCATCTGTGCTTTTGAGCTTATAATAAGAATTTTGTTGTGTTGCATTGAAATTAGATGATAATTGTATGTGAGAAGTCTAGCACAATGTCTAAAACATGCTCATTAATGTAAGCTTTTATATATTCATAAAACAAATCATTTCATCATGGTACCAAATTTTCATATTTGAAATTCTTATAATTTTATTGTAATTGACCTTTAAAAACCAAATATTTATAATTAAATAGCAATTTTCTGTAAAATGTATTTTAATTATTTTAATAATACTTTTTTTGGCAGATAGTCATAAAATACTGGTTCAGTGAGCAAAACCTAATATAGTTTTCTCTTTTTCGCTAACAAAATTTTAATCATTTAATTTTTTCTTTTAAAAATAAACCATAGATTTCTTAAATTATTTAATTTAAATTACTTAAATCTGTGATGCCTAAATTTAACACCTGGACAGTTAGAAGAAATACAACATGTCACTAAGCATAATGCTCACTTGTTTTTATGGCAAAAAAATGTCCTAGTATAATAAATAGACAAAATCATTTGCATTTAGAGAATTTTTATTAGAAAGGCTTTTTTTTTTCTACGATAATCCACAGATTCTAAAACAAAATGTTATAAGAATGAAAAAGACTCAAAGTTTATATAAAGAAAAAATTGCTGACTTGAGAACTCAAATATTGTAAATTTATTTCCCTCTAATTTTAACAATTAAAGAAACTGTGACAGAATTGTAAAAGTAAGAAGAGTAATTTGTGAAGTAGTAACATTTTATGTTATTTACTAGGTTTATTCTCATTTTGATAACAACAAATCTAAAATAAATATCTATAAGCCTCTAATTAAGGCTCTGATGAATCCAAATTTTAGTGAACTGCTATATATGCTGTCAGGGTTATACTCTTATTCTTCGGATCACTTTTCAAAACCTCTCTTTTGGAGGGAAGTATGGGTGATTTATCTAGTGAGTTTTAGTTTTTTTTCTCTAGGCTATTATGCATAGGGAAAAATATTCAGGTTTTGTTTGTTTGTTTGTTTATTTGTTTTCCCAATACCTGTTGGTTCACTCAGACTCAGTTACTGAGTTCAATCTAGTTTCTAAATAAATTTCAGGAAACAAAGACTAAGTACGTACATCTAGAAAAAGAAGGTATTCTTTGAATCATGATCTAGCACTGCTAGTTGGTGGACACCTGGGATATAGCTGAGTGGGAAAGGTGTCCTCATTTGAAGAGAATCTGAATTCATTAGCTACATCCTGAACTCCTGGGGCCTCTTCATTCTTGGTGATAACTACGATATATCTGACTTCTATGCCTTTGTGCTGTGCTCTTAGCCTGGCATGTTCTCCCAGCCATAGATTTCCTGGCTTTACCCTACCTGGCCTGAGAACGCACACTCATCTTATCCTCTCTATCTCTCTCATTAATCTTATCTTTAATCAGTCAACTCTCAGAAAAGATGTGAAGTAAGGATAAAGAATGCTAAAGGAAACTGAACCAGAAAATGGAGGAGAAACTCTTCCTTTTCATCTTGCATAAAGCCCTTAACCCAAAAACCAGAATTAAATGGATATTTGTGGACTATTTGGGGAACTTAATTACCATATATAATATTATTTCTAGATGATAGATTCCTAATTCCAAACATCTAACTTAGTAACAGATGCTTGGAACACATTTCTTTTACTAAGTGCGGGATTGCCTGGAGTTTCTCTAAACATCTTTATATGCAGATGAAAATTTTGGTGGTATTTGTGTAATTCTAAAGTAGAGCCTAAATGGCTACATGGTTCTTTGCTTAAAACAAATCTGTTTCCTCATTCTGAATAGGGAAGAATTCATCATTCATTAAAAATATTTTTTTTCCTTTGGTGAGGACTTCGGAAATATGTGGATAACTAGATAATAATCTGAAGGACTCCGAAAACATTAAAGTGGAAGGCATTAATTAATTGAATTGACTGTGCTCCCTGACTTCTGCATTTGTCCTGTGCATTGTTACATTTATTTGTTTGTTTGTTGGTTGGTTTGTTTTTAAGTCCTGGAGTTGTCCATTTTCAGAGCCTTAGATCTACCTCCCCCTTTTCTTCTGAATTTTCATTGAGAAAATAAAGTTCTTGCTGTGTACCACTGCTTTTACTAACTTGGGAGTCTATTTATATGCTTATTTAAATCTTTATCATGGGTATGTATTTAAAGCATGTTTTGGTCTGTAAATATTAGCTTCCTTATAGATTGTAAGTGTGCCTTTGCTATTAGAACAAGTTGATTTCATCTATTTTCCTTTTCATCTTTAAACATATTATTTAGCCAACTTTTAGCTTTTCCAATATGTAGTAAAAATGTCTCAATACAATAAGAAAATTAATAAACAAAGTAAAAAAAGATTACTTATGAAAATATATTTAGAAATCCCATTCTTTTGATTTATAACCATATTTGGTACCAGTAAAACTTCAAAGTGTTCTCTAAACTTTGAATTTTCATCAGCAAAGCTGAAAGCCTTAGTTTTTCAAAAGAATAAAAAGAAAGAATAAAAAGAAAAAGTGATAATCTCTCAAAGTAACCTGTGCTAGGGTCAGTAATCTTGTTTTTAGCTATCATGCATTCACAACCAGATAATTGCTTCATTACATTATGGTTTAATAAATATAATAATGAACATTTTATTACAAAAGAGCAAATACTCAAACCATTCAGAAATGAAATCTAAGCTCAAAGGATTTCTAAAAGAAAATGAAAAAGAATTAGACAGCATCAAATATTG